CATGGGGAGGGATAATTGACAGACAGGAAAGGGAGATTTGGGGAATTCACACAGATGGTATGTCTGTGTGTATTTAGAGGGAGATTTGGGGAGTTCACACAGATGGTATGTCTGTGTGTATTTAAAGTGAGAGATGGGGGATCCACACAGATGGTATGTCTGTCTGTATTTAGAAGGAGATGGGGGGATCCACACAGATGGTATGTCTCTCTGTATTTAGAGGAAGATAGGGGGAATTCACACAGATGGTATGTCTGTGTGTATTTAGAGGGAGATAGGGGGGATCCACACAGATGGTATGTCTGTGTGTATTTCTGCCTTCAAGGACATTAATTAACCAGATAAAGGAAGGCTTTCCTTGATACATAGTTCAGTTTTCATGAATGATTTTTTTTTCTTTCATGATTTTCAGACGCAATTAGGATATACATGTATTCATGTATTTGAGAGATTTAAGAGCTCTACAAAATTTGTATTAAAGCTGAGAGAATTGGGACACATTTATGTAACTGTGGTTACCCAATAGTCCATAAGGTACTGCTTCATTCTTTAAAGGAAAAAATAAATACAGTATATTTGATAACCACTTAGGGGCACTCTGGTTTAAAATGTGTGAAACCAACCACTTAAGGGATTAATGAGGGAGTTATGGGTGTACTTAAGATCTTAGAATAACAAAATTTTGGAAGGTTTATCTAGTATTATTGTTCCCTATGCTTGCAAATTGACGTCAAAATAAAACATGGCTGGTAATTTTTATTGTCAACTTCTCTTCTTTATTTAGTCCTCACTTACTTGTCAAAAGTTAAAGAAAGGGTTCATTTTTTATTCTCCCGTATCACAATAATGTAAAATTACATGTGTGTATTTATTTTTTTTACACCTATTTTTAAAAACGTATTACATAGCTGTAATGATAAGGATTAAAGGTTTTTTATAAAGTGATCCTATTATGTCAACATTGTTACACATCTGAGAGACTTCCAGTTCTCATAGTCCGTGGATTGATCTGGATTAGAAGACAAGTATGGATACACAGGAAGTGCTTCAATAATTGGCACTTTTCTTTCAAGCTGAGATAGAAGGGATTATCTAGAAAAAGTGCTGTTCGCTTGGTGTGCGGCTTCACATCACAGATCAATTGAACTGCCATTGTTTTTTCTGTTATCTGCCCAATCAGCCAGCAAATAAAAACTCTTCTTGCTCTCTCTTGTGAAAACTGAAACTAAGGCTCAATACTAAATACAACTGCGAAAAATAATGCTCCATTAATTTTTACGAGTCAGTTTGGTGACATTACAAAGTCATGAAAAATTCTATCTCCAACTTTATGTTCAACTGTTCCTCACTTAACCCAAATATTGCCCCAGAATTATTTTTTTTTTTTTGGTATTCCATGAGAGGGAACTATCAATATTTCTCAAGTGGTCCACACATACATTAGGAGAGGGAATCTGTAGCAACCAGAAAGTCTGATTCAACTCTGAAGAGCACCCTGGGAAGAAATCAAGATGAAGGAATATTTAGCTACAAACGTACATGTACTTCAAAATTAATTATACTAGAGACAGTTGCATCATGAACTGAGACATGCTTCATAACTAAGTGATGAGGTTTTCACATTATACCGCCAGGTATCTGAGAATGCTGATGATATCCAGGTAGTCCTTTGAATACATGTAAAATTTATAGCCAAGTGGTAAAATTTCTCAACCAAATAAACAGAATGATTTTGATAGAGCCTATTATCTCCCCTGACTTGACTTGTGTAGAAAACATACAAAGATAAATTCAGACAATGATTATATGCCCCGAGTTGGATTTAGCTCACTGCAGTCATGTAAGAAACATCTGTGCCTTGCATTATGACTAATGTCTTCCTCTTCAATATCTAATAAATAGTATACAGATTAGTATTATTTGAAGCCTCTTCTTCAAATAGAAACATAATTGAGAAATTTTATAGTAGCTGTTCAGTGACCAGTTATTAATATTTTTGTTAATCTGCACAATTTTTTTTGTTATGGGTTCTCCAGCCCAATTAATGTGCACGCGGGGCTAGTTCATGGTGTGTTATGAGTATGCGAGCAAGCTCATATCTGGGGATATCATGATTTACAATTTTGAATGGCAGGGTTCATCTTGATACAGTCTACCTGTACAATTCTAACAAAGCTCGATCTGTCATCCTACTGCACGGGGACAAATTATATAATGACATCGTCACGAGAATGAATTAATAGAGAAGACAGGTATATAAAAGATACAATCAAATGATGTTTTAGTCCTATCATTTTTTTTTTTGAATGTTTAAACTCTAGGTTGATCTGGTAACATTATGAATACTTCCGTGACTTGAGAGCTGTAATTGACTAGGTTTTGGCGCCTGTAGATGTTCGACATATACAATGAACCATAGAATGTTTGGAGCATAAAAACCTAAGATTTATATAATGACCAAATCTGTATGTCTACTTAATTAATGTCCTTATTTTACAATCATTAATTGTAGGTGCGGTTACACTTCCAATCAGTATTTTCAAAATTGCTTTTTAAAATCCTGTAGATCGATCTTAAACTTTTTTTTTCATGATAAATTATTTTAGCAGTTGCATGGATAGTAAACATATTTTGAAATCCTCGCATTGAATAAAAAAAAACTGATAAGAAAAAATGTAACAAAGCGGCACACAGGTGTTTGATTTAGGCAATTTTACACCTGTATCTGCTGCGTCAGTATTGTTTCACCTGCCAGACCCAGAACAAACTTTCTTGAGCCATTTTTTTCAGGTAATTAATGCAGTCAGAGAGAATTTTGATTAGAGACTGTAGTTTCATTAAATACTGCCTGCAGGCATCTGGAAATTTGTCTATGAACACAGAGAAAATTGGTCTATGTTGAAATTTTTTAGCAATTGATAGTGTTTATCTCTTAACAATTAGCCTCCCCGACACCTTCTTGGCTTATTGTCTTGGTCTGTTAACGGGATTCTGTGTAATCGATTTTCAAACCTCCAGATTCAATATCACACAAAAGAACAGGCCTTTTAATTTCATTTTCTAATGGGGTTTATGTCTTGGGGACATTGAAAGTTTTGATGAAAAAACTTGTATTAATTGGATTGTGGAACATGTTTGGATTAAGGTATTATTTTAATTTCTGAAGTTAATGTCTGTTTGTACACAACTGAAATGGGAGGTGGAATTTTTATCAATGATTTCAATTGATCATTTAATTGTCATCAGATTTCTCTTTAGGTTTACATGTATATACAAAAAATTTATGTATGTATATTCTATATATGGAAGATACAAAATATATTGTCAGCCCTCATTTCTCTTTATCAAAGTATTGCTTTCCTTGAAAAGTCTGTTTTCATGTTTGACCTTAAAAGTCAATATTTTTTAAATTCTGATAATTTATGAAGATAGTTTTTATGCTATTTTGAGATAAAACAATAGAGTACAAGCAAATGATGAAGATATTTAATTATAGATAAGTATACTTTTAATGACATTTCCTTGGGGAATTGGAGGTAAACTGAACCTCGCTCTGTTTGTCTTTGACCAGGTGACTGTCTTTGATCTTGAAGCTTTTTTTAATTGGATTGGTTTGTGTATTGATTTCCAGTAGCTGCTGTCTTTGACTGACAGAGAAGACACTAAATAATTAACGACCTTTACTTTCGCATATTGTCCCTCAAATCCAGCATCTTTCTTTGTGTTCTTAAAGATTTTCTCCAAGTCTTGTCCTTAGAAAAGGGTCACGGCCCCGAGAAAACTCGGATCATTACCTAGCAGATAAATGCAGTTAAATTATTGCTCATTTACCTGGGTATTTATCGCGTGGAGTAATGATTCGTTATTCTCCAGAGGAGATTAATTTTCTCTTAAGTAAATGTACAGCCAGATTCATGTTTAATGAAAAATGTATTAAAAACTTGATAATATTAAGTGCATATTTAGATAGCATTTTTGTGGAGTGGAGGTCCCTCAGTTGGTATCCCAGTGACTGTTTACAGATAACATTTGAGTGGGAACCCTCCGAGGACCACGTTGATAGCTTTAGGGTAATTCCTCACTGATTAGGAACCCAGCAGTCCTTTTATATTAATGGCAAAAAACATTGTTCAAATGTATGACTAAGAAATTTGAAAGTGGCCTGAGCCTTTGTGAGTTGTGATCTATGTTTATGTTTTCTGTTAGTAATAAAATGGGCAAACACCATCCATTATGTATAGGGACATTACAAAAATCGACAGGAAAGAAAAGCGTTGTAAAGCCTCTCTAAGGTTTACGTGTAAAACTGATGGTGGCGATTTCCATGTGATTTCCTGTCAAGTTCTCTGTGCGTTTGAGAGATCACAATTTCCCACACTTGGTCTCGAAGACTGAAAATTCCAGAGGGAAATTCGGAATCCAGCATTTTAGAGTTCGGCAGTTTTATTTGAATTTATTGATCTCTTAGCTGACCATTTTTTCCTCATTTCTCATGATCTTTGTCTCCCCAGTATTGAAGGGAAAAAATATAAAAAGTTCTATTTTACAGATAATTCCAGTAATGAAGAATCTATAACCACTTTGTAATACAATCACTGATTTCTATCTTAAGTCATTTCTTTGTGTTTTTCACTCAAAAGACTTCAGTTTGAATTATCAGTATTGTTAACATTTTTTTTTCTCTCAAATTGTTATGCGTCTGTTTTATGCATTCTTATGAAAGGGAGATCTTGTCATGCCTTAGTCTTTTAATTACCAAAAATGCTTTGAAGTTGTTAAGTTTCAAAAGGGCTTAAAGATTACGAAAGAATGAAGGTTCATTTAAGAAAATTGTCAGATTAAACCACCTTTTAAATTGCTTAATCTTCATAGTATTATTGAAACTGAATAAGATTATCATGCTGAAATAACCTAGTGGAGACTTCTGAGAGGACATTGTTTTTTTAATAAACCAGGTGAAAATTTAAAAAAAGAGCTTAATGTGAAAAAAATGTACTCACAATTAAGGCCATCCCACATGTCATCTGGCCCACCATTAACCAGTGAAGTCCAAAATTGTAACAAAAACAGAAATACTGGGGCCATGCTTAGATCCATTGACAAAGTGATATAACTTAGAATTTAATCCACAAACATTGTCAAATCAAGCAAGGTGTGTCTAATGGGACAGTTATAAATGTTCACATGCTTTACTCCATGTTAAAATGACTGTCTGGTCCTAATCTTATAGATGTTTGTATCTACTGATTTACAGCAGTCCATTGTAAGCACATGTGTTCAGTGTTGTGTTTATAATAGCTACTGTCATTTTTTCTTCCAGCCATTTCATCAACCAATGGAATCGCAGAAAAGAATGGGGTGGTCTTAGACCGTGCCAGAGTTATCTTCCTTTTGGAGAGTGGAGTAGAACTGAGAGATTAAACATAGATTCACTCTCTGTTGTACAAGGAGTGGACATTATAATTGTTACAGGTAAGTTGTTAAGACTGGACATAATAATTGTCACAGGTAAGTTGTTAAGACTGGACATGATAATCATGACAGGTAAACTGTTAATCTGATTAATTTGTGTCAAGGAGAACTCTCAGTACTCCGTTGTCAGTAATTTAATTATTTGAGTCTAGTCAATGAACAAATAATTTTAATGACTGAGCATACATTAAATAATGAATGATGATAAAAAAGTAAATATGATTTTTTCAAAGCACTGCATTGTTCTGAATCATAGTGATATCTTCATTTTTTTTTTTTTTTGGAAAGCAATCTGTCAAGCAAAAATTTTAAATATGTTTCACAGAAAAATTGTTCATAAACTTTACTTTTTTTTAAATTCGCTAGCACGCTTCATGAAATATGCCCACGTGACAAGTCTGTGTGATTTACACACCAATAACTCACACAAAACTTAAAAACATTCCCTAATTATGAAAAAAGGAATGGGCAATACTGAAGACATCACTGTGCAGTATTGCTTGTTCACTATGAAATGAAGTGTTAAGAACTAAGGAGTTCTCTCCCTTATTATTGGTTCTGAATGCTAGCTATATATAAGCCTACAGTAATAAATACCCTCTAAGGCATTGTATACTTTCTGTATGTATTTCATCATTTTAATTTTCACTTTCATTTTCAGAACTACTTGTGTTCTCCAAATTGAAATACACATCACACAAAAGGAGTGAAACTGAAAAACATGGGTAGGCCTATAGTCACCAGGTTTTTCTACATTTCCAGGAATCAGAGATATAGATCAGATCAGAATGAGCATGGCCATTGTCTTTATATTCTGTAAAACAGCAGGACATATTTCTGTTCTAACAGTAAGTTTATGAAATAGCTTAAAATGATATTTTTTTTCTTCAAAGTTTATTTACAAAGTCTTATAAATTCAAAAAAATGTACTATACGTAATCTATAATGTTACACTATTTGCTGTGTTTGAAAGAGAAAAAGAAATCTGAATACACATGCACGGTAGGGTTTTAAAGTTATGAAGGAACTGAAATAGTTTTATTTTTATGATATATGTTAATGTAATATTTTGAAATGTAAGACTTTATTTTGTCTTTTTTATAAATGCCTTGTCCACCTGTTTTTTTGTGACTCTCAAGAAGAATCGAGAATCTGTTTCATTATCAAGTTGTAATCGCTGTTAAAAAAATAAGTGTTTTCACTTGAAAAGAAAACTAAGTAAATAACACATCCTATAGTTTAGAACTTCCAGATACAAATCCTTCAAATATACAGCACCACTTAAGTGTTCTCTGAAATATCTCATCCTTTCCTTTGCCCTATAAAATGTTTGTAAGTACATTGTACCAATGTTCTTCAGAATTATTCTTTGTATCCATCCTGTAGGACTCTATTTTACAGACATTATTGTCATACTGGTGTTTCTTGTTGAGTTGAGGTAGAATTAGGATCTTCCAGGGTTGGATTTGGAGCGGTTTCCTGTGTTGGAGAGGTGTCACTTGGATTTGTAGTGGATTTCTGTGTTTGAGAAGTGTGACTTGGATTTGGAGTGGATTCCTGTGTTGGAGAGGTGTGAGTCCTCCTGTCCATGGATTGGCCATCAGGAGGGGGCCCTGATGGTAATAAGCCTGTCTTGGTAAGAGACTCTAGAGCCAGAGATACACCACGAGTAAGATCAGAGGGGGGTCCTGAGGGTAAGCCAGTCTGGGTAAGAGACTCTAGATCCAGAGGCACAATAGAAGTAAGATCAGGTATTTTCTTTAGATCTGAAACTGATTCCTCTAGCGAAGAAACTGGGGAACCTTTCATAATTCCAAACATGCCTGATCCTTTAGGATTTTCTCCAGTCTCTAAAGCATCAGAGAAGGCTGGATTGTCTTGTCCTTCAATACTTGGTTCTTTGTGCTTGTCTAGTGTTTCATCGCTAGGTTCTTTGACCTGTCCCTTGCCACTCTCTTCTCTATGATCATCTTGCAGTAGTGGATGTGTGTCTGTAGGGTGTGTCGCTACCCAGGAATGATCTACTTCTCCTTCAGATGATCCTTCCCATGAGGGTTGGTCATCTCTCTGGGAGCACAGCAGACATTTTCTCCCCATCTCATTGAAACAATCTTCACAATAATCAGCATAACAACTTGTTCTTGAACAAGTGTAAAAATGCTGAACATCTTTGTCGGAGATTCCACAGTGCAAACAGGAACGTTCAGGGCTGTTACCTCCAAAAATTCCACCAATCAGAGGAAGCTTTGCCAGTGCGTGCTGAGCATCTCTTGCCTGGTTGGAATCTTTTAAGCGTGATCGCATTTGTTGAAGTTTGAATTTTCTCTGATGCAGAATCTTGTTATGTAAATAAACAATCCTCTCTTCCTCTCGTTTCTGGTAGAAGAAGCCACACAAGGCCCGTTTGATTCGATAACAGTAACTCTGTAATATTATAGTCACCAGTACCCCTCCATTGAGGCCCAGGAGTAAGTAGAGGTTGTTGTTATCTGGATAGGAAGGGTAGGGCAGGCACTCAGTGACGTTATACGTAGTGTAATAGCTATCCTGTAATGTTATTCCTTGTACCATGCTTCTGAGAAACCGGGCCAACATACCATCTCCGGTTATTTGAAAGTTGATGTACATTGAACCTGAATAATCGATCTGGATATTTGCATAGGTGTGAACCAGGTAAACAGCATAGTATAGAGCGTAATCAATAAAAACAACCACAGCATAAAATATAATGTTCAGCAACAACTGAAGTATGGCCAGAATACTTTTCTTGATCTCAGAACCACTCAGTGCAAGAGAACTTGTTAATATATACTGAGTAGCCTCATTCTTTTTGAAAGGCAGGACAGATGGTTTTCCAAGTTGTCGACAGTCTCGATCATACCTTCTGAAGTTAAGGGAGATGTAGTTGTTGTCGTAGTCTATCTGGGTGAGGTAATGTTGGAGGTACAGGGCACTCTGTAGAAGCATGAGTAAGAGGAGGAGAGAAGTCCACTGGGTGAGAATAGACAGGCTGGTGTGGATAATGTAGGCATGGAAACTGAACCAGGAAGCAATCTCCACCACCAGCGCTGCCGCTGTCTTGCTTACATCACTGAGTCCTATGAGTTGCCACTCTTTAATGATGTTAAAGTAAAAAGCATTTTTTATAATTTCATAAAGGGCATAAACTCCCTTTCCTATGAATTCTAAGGCATCAGAGACAGTTTCTAAGGGAGTACAGATACCGGAGGTGATTTTCAGTGGTGCGCATAATGCCCCTCCTATGTTTACAACTTCACATATTCCAGAAACAATACCTCGTCGAAATCTGTGAAAAGATGAACAACATGAACCCTTATATTTTTTTTACACTACTGTTAAAGTGGAAATGTTGATGACATGGAAAAATTGATGAAATTAACAATTGCCTGATTATTGTCAAAGTTTCCACTTTTCAACTTTCACTTTTTTGTTTAAAAGCACTGTTAAAAACTAGTAGACTGTCAAAGTTTCCACTCGCCATATTTCTAATGTACAGAAATCATCAAACTTTGACCCCTTCAATGTAACCACTATTACAGTATTTAAAAACATTATTTCATATTGACACATCATATAGTCACAGTAAATGAAACATGTACATTGTACAAGAACATTATAAAAACTGACAGGGTATTTGACAAAAGAAATTCTCACCTACGAATTGTCAAATTGTAATATTTCTCTTTTATAACAGCATGGTCAAATAATCTGTGTTTTGGATGCAAGTTGGCCTCTTGTAAGGTTTCCTCCAGGATTTCCTCTGCTCTAGTTTCCCAAAATTTTCTGTGTTTTTCCTCGTCTTTGTCATTCCACTGAACAAAAACTTCCTCTGTTATAACCTCCCCTGAAACACAGTCATCTCCTCAAAACTATATTACACGAGACAATCTAACGGAATGAAGGTCTAGACCTATAAGAGCGTGTTAGCTGGTACCCTTACCCTGTGCACCTCTCTTTCTTCTTAGACTCCCAATAACTGGAATCTTGTCAATAGTAGATTTACACTTTTTGTAGGCATTATTGAAAAACTTAGTGCAGGAGCTATAGGCACTATTGAACATGGACTTGCATTCCTGAAATCAATAAGAATTGACACTGTTCTTTTTAATACAATTCACATTTCATATTGCCAAGAAAGCACATCAAATGATGTATAAAATGTAATTGGTCCATTTTTGTTTGCTCTTTTTGGTTTTTTCCTTAATTTGTTTCATGTAGTTAAATAAGAATGGTAGAATATAAAATTACAGAATGTCCAAAGTGCCATGCTTTAATTAATTAATAAAAAAGGAAAAGACTGACATCTGCTGCCTTTTTGAGGTAGTTGGCAGCCGAGGACAATCCGGAGGCGGTGGCCTTGATTGCATCGGTGATGGGCTTCATTGCCACCTCAATGTAACCAGCATATTGTCTGACCTTTTCTTCAATCTGAACCATTTGATTCTGAAATCAATGTAGGAAGAATCAGAGTATTCCAGATCTAGTTTACAGACCAATTGAATATGAACGATGCCTTACCAAGAGGAAACAATTTACACAAATTAAGTGACTAAGTGTCCTAGGGTGTCTTAGCAGACATAACCAGCAAATAAAAAAAATATGGCCTTTCGCAGTTTATAAATCTTGGATCATAAGCTTCTTTAACATGCCTAACTTCATTAAGTTTTACCTTAATGCTATTAAAAGGATCTAGGAACTGTTGTTTTAGGTCCCTGGTCTGGTTTTTGATCATCTCTGCACTGCAGCCCATGCTGTTAGACATGCGTTCCATATTGGTGGAGATGTTAGCTACTGGACCACTGACCAATACAGCCAGCAGGAGAGTGTACAGGACCCACCGGCCGTACTTTCCCAGGATCTCCGGCACAAGGATACAGACAATGCATCGACAGGCCACAGAGAGACTCATCGCAATCAACAATACAACAGTGATCGGCCCAGCAATGTACACGGACAGGAAGAAGGCGATGCCATAAAAATACCAGAGAATTCCAAGCAAGGCACCTCCAGCTAGGATACCCCCCACTGCTCCATACACACCACTCAGGTAGGGGTTCTCGTAGAACTGGAATGTGTGCCAATCTGATCTTACCTTTGGTTCCTCAGGGGGAGGGAGGCCCTCAAGGGGTAGAATTGGCTCCTGGGAGGGGGATCGCTTATGGACTATGAAAATTGATTATTTTAAAGAGTTTTTGTAAAATTTTGTTTAAATCAAAACAGGATAAACTTTTAAGTAAAAATAAAGGATTAGCATTCAGTGATGAAATATATACTTTTAAAAAGGACTACACGTATAAAATATGTAAATACATATTTACCCATTGTGATGCACTAGAGGTTGTAGGCTTATCCAGTGTGCTATAAACTTTTGTTTACATGTTTCTTGTTTTTTCAGTTTCCTGCCGAGGGAAGTAAGAGGATGAAGATGTATTACAATAGGATATGTCTGTCTTGTTAATATGGGAATGTTTTAATTTTAACCTTTTTTTGTAGGAAGATCACATGACATTGACATTTCATTATAACTTTGTAATATTGTATTAATTACATGTAGTTAATTAAGATTTGATCATTGTTGACTTTGATTGTTAACATTTTACTGGTCATTACTGTGCCACTTTGATCAGTGAAATGATAATAGTCAGCATGTATCTCTGTTTTATATATTGAGATGTGAATGATGCATTAATCTACAAGTAAATTTATAATTATAGTACTGAGTATATTTTCCAATTCAGTATTCAAAGTGATTTGCCTTCGTTAGTATTTATACTTTTATATATTTTCATTACAAAAATGCCATTTGATATGAATGAGAATTTTCATATGGTATGCAAATATTTTAATTTATATAAAAGATGATGTACAGCTGTATGTCATATTTGTAGGAGGAGTTTGTCCCTCAGAAAGGTCGACGTGTCCTCTGGTACAGCTGCGGCCCCACAGTGTACGATTACTCCCACATGGGGCACGCCCGGTCATATATTTCTATAGACATTCTCAGGAGAGTCCTCCAGAATTACTTCAAGTACGATGTCTTCTACTGCATGAACATCACAGATATTGATGACAAGGTAGGTATTGTGTAAACATCACAGATATTGATGACAAGAACATCACAGATGTTGATGACAAGGTAGGTATCATGTGAACATCACAGATATTGATGACAAGAACATCTCAGAATTGATGACCAGGTAGGTACCCTGTGAACATCACAGATATTGATGACAAAACATCACAGATATTGATGACAAGGTAGGTATCCAGTGAACATCACAGATATTGATGACAAAACATCACAGATATTGATGACAAGGTAGGTATCATGTAAACAGCACAGATATTCATGACAAGGTAGGTATCATGTAAACATCACAGATATTGATGACAAGGTATCTCATGAACATCACAGATATTGATGACAAGATATTGATGACAAGGTATCTCATGAACATCACAGATATTGATGACAAGGTAGGTGTCATGTGAGCATCGCAGATATTGATGACAAGGTAGGTATCGTGTAAACATCACAGATATTGATGACAAGGCAGATATCAATGGTCATTATTATTTATGGCATTAACATCACAGTTAAGTATCAATTGTTAATATGGTGTAAACATCACAGAAACAATCTTAATATGGTGAATTTAAATTAATCATGAATGGAAAGAATAAAGGAGAGCATTTTTTTAAAAGGTTAAAATCTTAAATATTTGATCACTTAAGTGGAATAAAAGGACACAAGTTGATGAGAGCTGTATTGTCGTTCTCAGATCATTAAGAGAGCTCGACAGAACTACTTGTATGAGGAATACCAGAAGAAGGACATGGCTGTGTCTAAGATACTGGAAGATGTGGATGCTGCAATGAAGGTAGAGTTACTGACCATAGATTGTTTTACTTTATTCATGTATACATTTCTGCTTGATTATTTTGATATGAACTTATATATTTAAGTAATAGTTATTTTTTGATAGGTGTGAGCTTTCTACTTTTTTACAGCCCTTCTTGGTCAAACTAGAACAAGAACTTGTATATTTTAGTAATAGTTATGATAGGTGTGAGCTTTCTACTTTTTTACAGCCCTTCTTGGTCAAACTAGAACAAGAACTTGTATATTTTAGTAATAGTTATGATAGGTGTGAGCTATCTACTTTTTTACAGCCCTTCTTGGTCAAACTAGAACAAGAACTTGTATATTTTATTAATAGTTATGATAGGTGTGAGCTTTCTACTTTTTTACAGCCCTTCTTAGTCAAACTAGAACAAGAACAGGACCCAGATAAGAAAGCCATGTATGTCAGGATAAAGACCAAGGTCGAAACAGCTGTGTCAGAGGTCAAGGCCAGTCAAGATGGAGTCAAGGCCAAAGAGGTTGTTGACAATATACAATTTCTCTGTAAGAACTAATACTTGTTCATAGCTACATGTACATTCAAAAATTCTTGTAAATTTGACATGTAGAGATACAAGTACCAATAAATTGAATTAGAAAGATTATGATTTTTGTAAGTTGTACATTTAATTTTTACATCTGGTGTGCCAAAATAGAAATTACACAACTTAGAATACTTAATGTTTTAAAAATATGCACCAGAAAATTATATAAAAAAAAAATCAAGAGTGAATACATATCCTTAATGAATCATCATTATCATTTTTTTTTGGTATACAGAGGCTATATGTAGATGGCAGAGACATCCTTTGTGATTGGCTGGATAAGTTACATGGGTCAGAGGTTACAGACAACTCCATATTTGCCAATTTGCCACGGTTTTTTGAAGAAGACTACCATAAAGACATGGAATCTTTAAATGTGAGTGGAAGAAAAGTCATTAATGTAGCTGATATACTTTCAGTTAAAAACAGTACTAGTTTAAATGTCAGAAGTGTTGCTTGGCTGTGTCCAAGATTGGATCGGCTAGCCTAGCTGCTAGATACAGTGTGGTATCTGGGTCTATTGAACACACTTAATGAATGAAGCTGCTACGCATTGAGTCCTTATTGTTTACAAATTTTGATGAATGTTTAATGAAGCCTTTGATTTCTTATGAACAGGTTCTGCCTGCTGATGTCCTCACTCGAGTCAGTGACTACGTCCCAGAAATTGTTGACTACATCAAGAAAATCATTACAAATGGCTTTGGGTAAGAAATGTGCTATTGGAAAAATATCACATTTGATTCTAAAAATCTGAGTTTAAATTGTTCAAACTGAGGATGTACTTATGCTAGGTAATTCTCATTTTTTCCTCAGGTTGACAAGAACACATTTTTTTTCCTTTAATTTATCATGTATTGATTTGCTCATTTTTGTGGTATTTGTGTTTTTAGTACTTCTGAACTATATGTTTTTTCTCTCTACAGTTACGAGTCCAATGGCTCCGTGTACTTTGACACTGCGGCCTTTGATGCTGCTGAAGGTCACACTTACGCCAAGATTGTCCCAGAGGCTTACGGAGACAAGGCAGCCCTCAATGAAGGAGAAGGTCAGTACCTTACTCAGGTCTCAACCTTAATAAGTGCCCCGCTCTGCGGGCACCATATAGTGATCAGTCTGTCTGTCCGTCCGAGATCTCTTGTCCGGAACATATCTTCTCTCTCTTTGACCCAATCTGGCTCATACTTCACCCGCAGAGTGTCTTTTGGTAAAGGGTGTGCAGTGACCTTGAACCATGTTTCTAGGTCTAAGGTTAAGGTCATAGCAGAATTATGTGAAAAATCCTTGTCTGGAGCATATCTTCTCTCCCTTTGGTCCAGTGTGGCTCATACTTCACTCACAGAGTGCCACTGGTCAATGGATGTACAGTGACCTTGAACAAAGTTTCTAGGTCAAGGTCAAAAATAGACTCTCTGTTTAAATTCTTGTCCGGAGCATATTTTCTCTCTCCTTGGCCCAATCTGGCTCATACTTCACCCACAGAGTGCCTTTGGGTAAAGGGTGTGCAGTGACCTGGAAATTAAAGATTTCTCTCATTTTGTATTATTTATTTTTGTTGATTTAAGGTGAACTTAGTTTGTCGGTAATTAAAGATTTCTCTTGTTTTATATTATTTATTTTCATTGATTTAAGGTGAACTGAGTGTGTCGGTAGAGAGACAGGAAGAAAAAAAGAACTCTACAGACTTTGCCCTGTGGAAGGCCTCCAAACCGGGAGAGCCCTCCTGGGACTCCCCCTGGGGAAAGGTACCAGAGATTACTGTTTTATTTCCTGACAATTTACAAAAACCTTTACTGAAAGACATTAATACTTAAGGTCCCCCTTTACTGAACACTGTGAAAATATAAGGCTTCATTCAGAATTTTAGGATTTTTTTGGGTAATTTTTTTTCATAAACATACTTCACAGTTGACAGCTGGGTGTTAATCATATAATGGAATTTCAAACTTTGATTTCCTTTTGTAGGGACGTCCAGGTTGGCACATTGAGTGCTCAGTGATGGCCAGCAGCATACAGGGAGAATCTCTAGACATACACACAGGAGGGTTTGATCTCAGATTTCCACATCACGACAATGAGCTTGCTCAAGCAGAGGTAAGTCAAAGCTCACAACAGCAAGTGAGATAGATATCCATGCAGGAGGACTCAATCTTAGATTTCAACACCAATGACTCACTCAATTAGAGGTAAGTCAAAGCTCAAAGAAGGTGAGATAGATATCCACACAATAGGGTTCAAACTCAGATTTCTCAATCCTGACAGTGAGCTCCTTATTCAGAGGTAAATAGAACCTCAAGATAGACACAGACACAGGGGGGGCTGGTACTCAGTTTACCTCCTCAAGGCATCTTTAATAGATAGTCAGTTATAGTTCAATGTTTCTTAAATGACAATACAGTCAAACCTCGTTATCTCGAACTCCAATGGGACAGAGAAAAAACCTCAAGATATCCGAGGATTGGAGATATCCGGGGTAAAACACTTAAGGAATAAGGGGTTGGGACTTCAAAATCACTTTGACATATCCATGGTATTCGAGGTATCTGTGTTCGAGATACCGAAGTTCAACTGTATATTATTATTGAAAAATAAGAGGGAACTTTAGCATGGAGCAATGCAGTCCTGACAATTTGTTGTAATTTGTGTTGTCATATTTTTTAAGGCATATTTCAACAATGATCACTGGGTGCGGTACTTCCTCCATGCTGGTCACCTGACCATTGAAGGCTGCAAGATGTCTAAATCCTTAAAGAACTTCATCTCCATCAAGGAGGCCCTGAAAAAGCACACAGCACGACAGTTACGTCTGCTCTTCTTACTTCATCAATGGAAGGATACGCTGGACTACGGGGAAAACAGTATGGAGATAGCCATCAGATACGAGAAGATGGTCAATGTAAGTTTTCTGCATTAAACATTTGTAAATAGCCATTATATATAGAAATGATACATTTTCCCATACATTAATGATATCATTATAGATCAGGTAGAATAATTCTACCTTGTAAAAGCTTGGTTGAGCTTTTTATGTTGGGTCTGTATGGATTTCTTACAGGGAGAATGTTGTATATGTTTTGTTTTGCATTTGCAATAGGAATTTTTCCTGAATGTGAAGAACTTGTTAAGGACCACTCCTGGCACAGGTATAGAAGCATTTGAAAAGTGGTCCTCAGAAGAAATGGAGCTTAACAACAGGTAAATTTGATCAAAGACATGTATATCAGGACTTTAAATATAGATTTGTTGTCTTTAAATACGTAGTAATTCATAAAACTCCACATACTAACTAGTAATTTCCAGACTTTTCATATTTATCCATGGTTATGTTTTTATCAGGTACTTTGCTACAAGAGATTCTGTGCATGAAGCACTCTGTGGTAAGTTAGAGTCATTAAGTAAATACTTTAAACAATATTTATTAAGAAATGGATTGGATAAAAGGCAAGGCCTATAAGTACAGTAACACTTGGTTATAAAGAACTCGCTTATAACGAAATCTGGGTTATAAGAAACTTTTTACGAATCACTTAGATGAATTTTCTCAGTGTATGATCCTGATACAGATATAAAGAAATCTGTTATAAGGAAGCAAAATTCATGGTCCCAGTTACTGCCTTAAAACCTAGTTTTACTGTACCCTCTCCATAATCATTTATTTCATATTACATCATTTTTCCAATGCCATCTTGAACAAAAAATTCTGATGTGACTTTGTTTTCAGATAATGTCAACACAAGGGCCGCCTTGGACCAGCTGAGAGAGTTGATTGGAATAGCCAATGTCTACATGGCCAACTCCAGGGCTGTTAACAAGACACCCAACAGAATGATCCTCAAAAACATAGCAGCCTACATCACCGAACTTTTCAAGGTGAGTTTTCCTCAGGAGCAACTCAGCTACATCAGTCACTTGTTTGATATTCACTTTCATGGGAAAAGAAAAGCTATAGATTCTATCACCTAAGCAACCAAATATATTAAGTTTTTTTAAAAATTGTTTTTGCAGAAAAGATTGCCATTTAAGTAAATTATTTAAATTTTTAAGGGTGATGTTTTATTTACAAGAAATAATTAAAATTGCATTTTTTTTCTTCAGATATTTGGAGCCATTGAAACAGATGAAGAGATAGGGTTCCCTCAGTCCAGCACACAAAATGTCAATGTAAGATACATAATAAACAGTATAAACAAAATAAAGCAATTACAGTACATAGAATAACATCACTGAAAGTAAATGGCCTTTGAGATGTTTATACATGAATACTTATTGCTTGTTTTTGTCTAAGGTCGAAGAAACGGTGATGCCTTTCCTAACAGCCTTCGCTCAGTTCAGAGAGGATGTAAGGACCATATCCAGAGAGCAGAAAGGTTGGACTCCTATACTTGCCATGGAGTTATGTCCCTTTATTCAAAATTTATGATAAATGTTTCCCTTGTATGCATATACATTTTTGTCTTTATGCTTGTCATGGAGTTATATCCCTTTTTCATGTTTCTCTTGTTCTGCTATGTGACAGCCACAGAAATCCTGAAGCTGTGTGACAATCTGAGAGATGATGTCTTACCAAACCTCGGGGTAAGGCTGGAGGATGGAATATCCCCTCCCACCATCAAACTGGTAGACCGGGAAACCCTGATGAAAGAAAGGGAGGAGAAACTTAAGGTAGTATTTAACATCATTCTTTTGGAGTTAAGTAAAGTCTGATTATAAAATTCAGATGGAAAATATACTTGATTATAACAACCTAGACAGTCAAAATGGCTTCATTTTCTGAATTCATTAAGTCCAGATATTTCTTTCTCCAAATAATTGGTACCAGTATACGACTTTGTTACAGGCAGGCATTCACCATAAGCTTTTTTGTTACTGTGTATGGTTTTATTTAATCAGAGAAGATGTTTTTATTCATAATTATCTGTAACAACTAATATTTTGAGACATTTCAATAAAATATTTATTACCTTTATGTGTTAAATATTTGCTTCATTCTTTTGATCAGCAAGAGGAGTTGAAGAGACAAGAAAAAGAGAAAAGGAAACAAGAAATGGTTTGTTCTGTCTCTCTTAACATTAATGTTAGATGTGTGTGTGTGTTTAGACGAAAGTTGAAATTTTATCTTTGATTTCAAATCTTGTTTTTTTTTGGAAGGAGGCAAAGCTTGCCCAAGAGAAGATACCTCCTTGGGAGCTGTTCAAGAAAGAGACTGATAAATATTCACAGTTTGATGACAAGGTTTGTACCACTAATTTATTCTAGGCTTAGACATTCTGAGGGAAATGATCAATACTATTTTTAAACTTACAAAAAAATTGTATTTAAACTTTGTTTTGATTAAAAATGAGAAAATAAAGAGGAAAAGATCTTAGTTTATTTACATGTACTACATACAAAGTATATATATATAATGTTTTGTGGCCATCTATTTCAAAGTTTGAATGATGCTTGGTAAAAGATTTCAATTGCATCATTATCTTCCTGCGATTTGTAGGGAATTCCTACACATGATGCAGAGGGAAAAGAATTATCCAAGGGACAGATTAAGAAGTTAGCCAAACTGTATGAAAAGCAAGAAAAGACGTACAATAAACACATGGCTAATGCAGAAAATAAAAGTGGATCTTAACCAGTACTACACTCATCTAGACTTTGGCTGTTGACTTTAATTTATTGTTTTCTACCTTCAAAACACAACATAGACTTGACTTTTGAGAATTTTTTAGCAGAACTAGAGCACCAATTGTTAGTATCTCTTAAGTGACTCTCTATAGTGTAATTTTAACAGTAAATGCATGTCATATTTTGCATTAATGGTATATTTTAAAGATTAAAATGCAAAGTGATATACAGTTATCTTTCCAATAGCCATGTTGTTTTGAATCAGAGCTCATCGTTAACTGTTGTGAAATAAACACACTGCTATAATATACACATATTTGTATGGTCAAAGTGATAAAAACTGCCAACCTAAATACTATGTCAGGTATACAGAGTTGTATTTTATTTCTGCAGTTTGATCTAGTTTATATTTATGTGGTATTTTTGTGAAGTTTACATTTTTTATTTGTCATGCTTTTCTGTGCTTTACATATAATTGATGTTCAAAATGATATGAATAATAAGTTAACTTAATTCATTTTCAATGTGCTGTCAGAAGCTGTTTTCATATGTGATAAATATTTAAGATCATCTAATAAAAGGGATGAGGTATAAATTTTGTACTTCTTAATATCTAGGTAATTTAAGGACAAATGATACAAACAAACTTTTATGAAAAATCTTGAAAAAACAACTTAAATCATGTTTATTTAAGTAAAATAAATAAGTTTAACCGCATAGATTTTTATTTTTCATTCAAAGTTTCACAATAACTGGATTTTAAGTGACTAAAAGTTGTATAGATTAATAAGGGTGGTTGCAAAAAGGTGGAATTTTAAGCATCGTAGAAAGTTTACAATTTCGTGATGTTTTAAAAATTTATTATTCCAATCATTGACAACCAAAATAAGTCAAAAAATATATACCTATCCAGACATCCATTTTTGTTTGTATCATCTGTCCTTAATATTGTTGACAACATTTAACATTCTGTGTCAGGTAATGAAAGGTAGGTGTGTGTCACATTTCTTAAGTACTAGTAATGGAAATTTTAGCACATGGATAATTTCCGCTAGTTTTAAATGGGTATACATAGGAAAAATCTTTAAAAATCTTCTTCTCAAGAACAGCAAAGCAATAATTGGTCATATCCTCAGGTAATGTTCAACTTCTGATACTCAGAGGTAGGATGGGGCCAAATTGAGCTGTCAAAGCTTAACATAGGAATACGTACATAGGGAAAATCTTTAAAAAAATTCTCAAGATCAGCAAAGCAATGATTAGTCATATCCTAACTGTAGTCGTCTCTACAGACCAATAAACTCTCGTTTTGAATTTTTTTGTCGGATGGCAGAAAATTCAGAACAAGCGAGTTTATTGGTCTGTAGAGACAACTGTGAAGGGTTAGGAGGTGGATGAAACATGCAGGTTGGTAATACAATATGGCTAGAATTAGGGAATGAAAGGTAGTTGATTGACCAATGCTGGAAAGTGGCGAAATACATCCCCAACCGTGCACAGAAAATCTTGCTCCGTAAATTGTACCATATTTGCATTACGGGATCTGTAGCGTTATAACATATAAAATATAAATATAGACTATAAAACTTCTGCAGCTAGACATGAATAATAAGTTAACGCAATACATTTCTAATGTACGCTCAGAAGCTGTCTAGCTGTTTTCCGTGTGTGATAAAAGGTGTGAAAATCAAGGTTAAAAACTTCATGGAGGTTTTGTTTGTTTGTTTATTGTTGAACGTCCCTCTCGAGAATTTTTCACTCATATGGAGACCACAGGCACCAAACTCGCTTGAATTTTTGACCCCCTAGTATATTATATTATCTTTATTATATACTAAGGGGTCAAAAATTCAAGCGAGTTTGGTGCCTGTGGTTAGCTTGCACTTATTTATCAATTCAAGGAAACTCTTACAATCTTGTATTCTTCCGGGGTAATTTACCCAGTATTAGTTATTTCACAAGTTTGGCTTTCCAGAAAGCCTGAAATGTCATCTCTTTGGCTTCATCTCTTTGGTCACAGAATAAACAGTGGAATGTAACATTTTTTCCTCAGCGATTACAAGCAGAAGAACTTTTTTTCAAAAAGGGGGGGGGGGAGGGCACAGAATAAACAGTGGAATGTAACATTTTTTCCTCAGCGATTACAAGCAGAAGAACTTTTTTCAAAAGGGGGAGGGGGTGAAAGAATAAACAGTGGAATGTAACATTTTTTCCTCAGCTATTACAGACAGAAGAACTTTTTTTTTTCAAAAAAAAGGGGGGGTCAGTCAGAAAAAAAAATACAACTTACTTGAATAATCTTTCAATAGGAAAAAAAGGGGGTGTTAAAACTCGAAATTCTTATTTCGTGGATGGGAGGGAAGATTTAAACTTTTTGACTCTCTCGAAAACACATTGGGGGGGGGGGGGGGTTATGAATATGCTGCAACAAAAAAATGTGGGGAAGGTAGAGGCAAGCTGCCTTTCAGTAAACATTTGCAACAGTTATTTCAAATATTTTTTGTATTTGTGTTTAAAAAATGTAACCACTGAGCAGTATTCGTAAAATTTGTAAACAATTGTTATGTGACCGTGTAGATTTAGACGGCACTTGGGAATTCGTCTGGAACAGCATCCGTTGTTTGCAGAACGAACGAGGTGAGGGAACGTTGGCGTAGGGGGGTACGAGGTATATGTAGAGGCGCTGTGTAGCCGTGAGGCAAAAACAAAGTATAGGTGTGCCGTATTCCCGAAGGTCCACCAATATGCAATTCCAGAGATAAAACAAATGATGAAGGATTCCGTATTTATTAGATGAGTCTCAACGATGGCAACAGTTTACATGAATCAACAAACAGACATATTATAAATGATCGAGTCGGATCTGGCCGAAGTGGCCCCGGACTCAGAGTCCTGACGAGTCGGACGTGGCCGAGACTGGCCTTCGTATATTCCAGACTAATGATTGAAATTATACATGACTATTTATAAGAATGTACATAATGAATAAATAAATGACAGGTGTTGACATTTAGTAAAATGAGTGAAAGATTCACAGGTATGGATTAATTAAATAAACTCAATGACGCTTTGATGTTTGGACATAAAAAAAAAAAAAAACAGATAATTACACAGTGTTGTTTTTAGAGATTAACGGTTCTTGAGACATAGCACTCTGTCTCTTTTTAACAATAGATCAAGAGTCCGAAAAGTGTCACTGGTCAATTAAACAATTAGATTCGCAAAACATATCGCGGGAAATAAAATATGACACAACTTAAAAATTGAAAAGTAAAGTTCAAAATAAAGTTCTTTCTTAAACAGTGAATTTTTCACTGTGATAGTTATACAAGAGGATGGGTAAAACCTTAACGTCCCTATTGACTTTACATCACAGCAGCTTACTCGGACAACAGCCAAGAAGTTTAAAGCGCTAGCTTGAATTAGTCCAGTGTCATATAGTGAGACTCCCACCCCCATAGTGAGACTTCCCCCCGGAAATATGGCTATATATAGCGGTAAGACTCCCCGGTGGGGGGGGGGGAATTACTATATAGTGAGTCTTCCCCCCTAAACGACCATAGTGAGGCTTCCCCCTTCCATGTTCAGTAGTATTTTATTTACATCGACGATGTATATATATTTGCATTTTGATAATGATCTTATAAAATAGATACATGTATGAATAAATATAGAAGTGCGCATTAAAAATTTATCGTGCATAGTAAATAATTGAATTGTTCCAAAATGATTCTTGTCAAAAGAAATACATTTAACATTTAATAGATCATTACTCGTGGACTCTTGGAATTTGCTTATGTTAACCTTCTTTGGGGATGCAATAAATACAATATAATAAAGAAAGATGTAACTTGTAACAATAACATACATTTTTCATTCAGCTATCTCACATCAATATACATGTACATGTCATCCTATAATTATTTTTGGCTACAAACTGTTAAAAGGCTATTAAGATGTTTTAATTATTAATTAACGGAGAACTTTTATTCATATACTGAAAAATATTGTTTTACAATGAAATAAAATATTCCGGAAACTACATTTGAGGGGAAGTCTCACTATGAAAGGGGGGAGAGACTGGCTATATAGTGAGACTTCCCCGGGAGAAGTCTCACTCTATTGCCAGTCGATCTTCCGGGGGGAAGTCTCACTATACATCCAGTCTTCCCGGGGTACATGTATATCTCACTATATAGCCAGTCTTCCGGGGAAATCTCACTATGGGGAAGTCTCACTATACGACACTGACCCTCAATTGATTTCGAAAGATTTTCCACTTTTATATATATGGTTTATTCAAAGAAATAACCCTCACATGCATTTAAATATAGGTCAGTAATAAAATTTACACGGTGTAAGCTAAAATTAGGCATTTACAAATTATCTGAAAGAGTACCAATTTACCAACCCTGATATTTAGGCTGTTCAAGGAAACAATCATTTTATATAATAATATTTCAAGAATAAGAGAAGTGATTTGATAGCTTTTTTGCCACTAACCAATAATGCAATTTAAAATTACACAAAGAAAATGATTGCAGATGCTTTAATTATAAATTCTCAAAATACGAGTCGGGTAAAGAAATTGCGTCTTTTATACAAAGGTAACAATATTGTATTTCTGACATTTATTGTTTACAGAACAAAAAACAAAGAATAGTGCAGACATGCGTAAAAATTCACAATGATTATATAATCTTTCTTCCAATGCCTGTAGTTTTAACATTAACTATTTGTTTAAAAAAAAAATTTCAAAAATGGCATCAAGTTATTGAATGACTAAGATACACATAAAGGTAAAATTTTCGACATCAATTCACATCAGTCGTATTTAAACTTTTAATGCGAGCATTTACTTTGATTTTGTTTTTCTGTAAATTCTTAGATCCACGCCTTGGCTGATCTAATCGATGCCATGTAAAGCACACGCACTGGTCATCATTTACGTAACAGCCTAGATAACTGCATGTTATTTGAAGACCCGCCACTTTGTTTTTCTGTAAATACTTTGATACACGCCTTGGCCGTTAATCGATGCCATGTTTAGTGCATTCTGATACACACGCGCTGACCATGATTAGATAAATGCATGTATTTTGAAGACCCACCACTACCCAAGCGATATTGTCTCTGTGTCCCTCTATGATTTATGTGTAGTTTTTCTTTTTTAAGATGGCCTGTTTGACAGATCGCCCATTCTTTGTCATTGAGCAGTTTTGTTTACATCTCTATATTTAGAAATCGTGTCATTTGCCAGACCACCAGCTTATCAATGGCAGCTTACACTGGGGCTTCATATCCGGGGTTACAAACTTAATGTGTCATCTCTCTCGAGAGATGACAATTAGGACAAAGTCTTTTCTTCGGTATTTCACAATAATGTTCTCCGTGAGCAAGGTTTGTTTTTTTTTTTTTAGTTTGTTAAACAAATCATTGGTTGAATGTTTTCTTTCTTTAATCAAAAAAAAAAAACAAAAAAAAAAAAAACAACAACAACAACAAACAAACAAACAAACAAAAAACAAAAAACAAAACAAAACAAAACAAAAACAAAGAAAAATTACGGAATCGGCTATTTTGCGTCCAATGACTTGTGCATAGAGAACCTAACACACATAACACAGTACACACCTCGACATATGATGTTCATTATCATGAATAAATAACAGTCAGTGTCATGTAACCCTGTAACTTTCTACCATCTGCTTGTCTAGGAGAGTACACATATTGCATGCTTCAGCTAGGAAGACCTGTAGATGTGAGGTGTAGTAATTCGCAATGCATTTAAAATAGTTTTTCTAGGTTATAAATCTTGTACGCAATGGAAAGAAATTTGGAGACATATATCAAGGAAACTAAGAATTTGGTGGAAACGCAAAATTTTCAAAAAGCATACGAGGTTTTTACGGAGGCTCTTAAAATATACCCATCTTGTTCAGAGTTAAAAGATGGGCTCCGTAAAATGCAGGAAGGTGTTCTTGAACGAATTACTCGAAAGCCTGTCTCTCCTTTGTCAACAAATTTAAAACCTTTACCAGGAGATGATATTCTTCTTCGTCACGAGGAGGAATTTGTGAAACTTTGGATAGAAGACACGGATATTGAGACCATTGACAGTTCTCTGGAATTAAAGGACAACCTAGCCACCACTACAGAAATTGTAGATCTTTTCACAAACGGAGAAACACAGAAAGGAATGCACAAACTGAGATCTTGGTTTGCTTCCTCCGAGTGTGATGTTGCCGTTTTGATGAAATCTGTATATGATGCGGATTTGTACAAGGAGTGTGTATACATATGTACAAAGGTTCAACCTCAGCTAAAATCATCGTCTATCTGGATTCTAGGAGGTACAGGAACGTAGTATTTCTTTACCATAAAGTTTTACTATTAGTTTACTATGAAAATCCCCCTATTTTGTAGTGCAGTAAGATCCAGTCATGTTAATATTTTTGTCTGGTGAAAAAAGTCTGAATCTACATCCCTCTCCCTTGTCACTTTGGGAAATTTTCCTCTTTTTTTAATTTTTAATTTTTTTTTATTTTTGCTTGTTAAACATTTTCAGGTGAATTGAAATTTTTGCCCCCCCGTCAAAAAGGACACTTTGTGCCTTGGTATGCCTATATTTTTAAAACTTATTGATAAAAAAGATTTGTAAAAATATTAATATGATTTATTTTTTTGATTTAAAATGAAATGCATTATAAGTAATAGTGAACTGCATTGCAACCAAATTAATCAAATTCAATTTTTAGTCAATGTTTCGAGTTCAGATTAATCTTGTACCTCATGAAACACTGAAATTTTCTCCGTTCTTCACAGCAAAAGCAGCACAAAAGCTAGGCCTCCCCGTCACAGCGGAACACTGGTTGAGGACGATTTTCGAATCTGATGATAATGAAAGTGAGTCATGTCAAGAAGCGATACAGTTATTCCTGGATATCCGGACAACAAGACTCTTCCATAACCGGAACACAGACATTGCAATGAATCTCACAGGGAGAGGTCGAGCCGTGACGGCAAGATCAGACAAAGACGATCAGTCCATTGTTTTTGTAGAAAGACCAGTTCTCTGTGCCCCAGTTATTGATTCCAGTTATGGGGACATTCCAGCCTGTAGTCTTTGTGCAAAGTGTATTGCATCTCCAGAACAATTTTTTGGTTTAAAAATTCTAAAAAAGAATAAATCATTAAAGGAAGCCGTGGACCAATTCTGGACAATTCGGAAACCAGTAAAGTGTGAACACTGTTCACTTGAAGTCTACTGTTCTGACGAATGCAGATGTCAATCATGGGAGAAGTACCACAAAGTTATATGTCCATCTCAGAACGAGCACTCAGCCAAACTGTACAAAATTTGTACAGAGTACAAGAATGCTTTACTCCAAGGTTTAGAGAATCTTGAGGGCTGGTGGTATGAGAGCTTCAGTCCCCTCCTGCTGGCTAGACTATGGGCAACAATCCTCTGTGATGCTTTCACTGAAGCCGAAAAAAGCGATAGAACTCAAATCACTGATGTGGACATCATCACAGCTAAAAGAAAGTTTGACAGGTATGAGGAAGCTAAAATACGTTTCTCAAAATAACCTTATCGGTTGATTATCTCATTTAATAATGTAGTCCTATATATGCAGAATGTTCATACATGTATGTAGATTTGATAAAATATAAATGGTATCCCATAAATCACATTAAAAAAAGACAATGTTTATAACAAAATGTATTTACATTGCTAGTTTCCAAGTCCAAGGACGAGGAGGGATAACGAAAAGGATTCCAAAAATGTATGACCTTATGGTCAAGATTTTCTCGAACAAAGATAAAAACAGTCATTACAATATAACGCCAGAGGAATTCAACTTTCGCTATGGCCAGATCTATAGAAACGTCCAGGCGTTTTCCGATGCCAATCATCCCTATTTCGAGTTCCGGAAGTACGTGGATACGATTCCTGAAATGCAGAGTTTGAAGATTTTACAGAACAGTATCAGAGAGGCTGTATTCGCAGGACTGTTTACTTTACAATCAAGTTTAAACCATTCTTGTTCTGGTAACGTGGAAATCATTTCAGGAATCGTAAACGAGACTCCTGGTATACATGTGATCTCCAGAAAACCAATCAGAGAAGGAGAAGAGTTGTTTGTGTCGTATGTGGATACGTCATTTACCCGACAACAGAGACGAGGTTTTCTGTATCGTCTGTATCATTTCTGGTGCGAGTGCCCTCGCTGTATGTTTGAGGGTGACGATTCGGATGTCTGTACTCAGTGTGGGAAAGAAGCAGATGACGAGAAAGGTTTTCCGTCGTGTGGAAGATGCCACAAAGCTTGGTACTGCTCCAAAACGTGTCAGAAAACGGCATGGAAAAAAGGGCATAAAGAGATATGCGTCTATAGATAGTAATTATTAAAGGTCTAAAAAGAACAGACCTTCGGTTATTAATTAGTTCTGTTACGTAACAAGATTTCTGCCAATGTAGCAGAACATCTTTATTCCATCTGTTGTTTTATTGAAAGCTTGAACACACTTACTCAGGACTCTAAATCTAGCTATGCAACTTTGAATTTATTTATTTATCCACTCTTAACTGCTACAGAACCAAATGTTACCCCTTGACAGTGTGTGGTGGTATTATAAAATTGTACGATACGTAACTGCGTACCAGGATTTGAATTCACTATGTGGTAAAGTAATTAATTAAGTAAAATTTGCTGACTTTGGGCAGCTTTAATATGATAGCCTAATAAATACCTTAATAAAAGTATATGTTCAAGATATCAATTCATGAACATGTTGGTATACAAAGATTTCATGAATATTTATTATAATGGACCGCACTTGCCATTGAACTGTTGAATACACGAAACATGCTAGACTTTATATAAGTTTATATTTCTATTAATACCCATATCTATTTCAGCATTCCTTATATAGTTATGTCCATATGTCTTTTTGTGGTGGCAAACTGCTCTCTAACCGTATTCCCCATTGACACATCGGAGTTGAGACTTTTGCAATTAACTGATTGAGAAGAAAAGAGAATTCTCATGACACAGTGTGTTATAGCAAATTTAAAGAAATATCGAAGAAGTTATTTTTTTTAAAGGTTCATTTTTTGCAACTAATTAAAACCAAGATTTTTAAGAGATAGCTAATCTATAAACCAACAAGTGTGAATAAGGCATTCCTCAAAGAGAACTGCTGCAAATTTGGAAAATATCTGAAAAGCAGTCAAAAAATTGTTTAAAATAGAACAGAAAAATGGACGAAGACAATTCGGAATGGGCCGGGCTTTCATTGGGGGGTGTTGGGTTATCAAAATGAGAAGAATACATGTGGATTATTCTATAAACCTAGCAATATCAATTCTTTGAAACTACAAATAATGTACGTGTATAATTAATATTGACAGTGAATTGAAGAAGTCTTACTTTTATTAGTGACTCTGTTTGTTTTTCAGATTTGTTTGTTTGTATCACAATCATGTAATTTTTGTGCAGGTTGAACATTCCAAAAGTAACAATAGTTGTTATAGCCATAATATCTGAATGTTTTGGCAAACAATCTACGCAAGACTTCCTCAACAGGTACAACAAATACAACACCGTCTGTAGAGGAATGGGGTATGAAACGGAAAACTGTAAGGAAGGTAAAAAACGAGAAAAAGTTAACAATTAGAGCAAAATGTGTAGAGGGAATAGTGTATGAAAAGGTAAACTACAAAGAACGGGGAAAAGTTAACAATTAGAGCAAAATGTGTAGAGAGAATAGTGTATGAAAAGGTAAACTACAAAGAACGGGAAAAAGTTAACAATTAGAGCAAAATGTGTAGGGGAATAGTGTATGAAAAGGTAAACTAGAAAGAACGAGAAAAAGTTAACAATTAGAGAAAAATGTGTAGAGAGAATAGTGTATGAAAAGGTAAACTACAAAGAACTGGAAAAAGATAACAGAGTAAAATGTGTAGAGGGAATAGTGTATGAAAAGGTAAACTACAAAGAACGGGAAAAAGATAACAATTAGAGTAAAATGTGGAGAGGGAATAGTGTATGAAAAGGTAAACTACAAAGAACGGGGAAAAGTTAACAATTAGAGCAAAATGTGTAGAGAGAATAGTGTATGAAAAGGTAAACTAGAAAGAACAAGAAAAAGATAACTATTAGAGCAAAATGTGTAGAGAGAATAGTGTATGAAAAGGTAAACTACAAAGAACAAGAAAACGTTAACAATTAGAGCAAAATATGTAGAGAGAATAGTGTATGAAAAGGTAAACTACAAAGAACAGGAAAAAGTTAACAATTAGAGAAAAATGTGTAGAGAGAATAGTGTATGAAAAGGTAAACTACAAAGAACGGGAAAAAGTTAACAATTAGAGTAAAATGTGTAGGGGAATAGTGTATGAAAAGGTAAACTACAAAGAACAGGAAAAAGTTAACAATTAGAGCAAAATGTGTAGAGAGAATAGTGTATGAAAAGGTAAACTACAAAGAACAGGAAAAAGTTAACAATTAGAGAAAAATGTGTAGAGAGAATAGTGTATGAAAAGGTAAACTAGAAAGAACAAGAAAAAGTTAACAATTAGAGCAAAATGTGTAGAGAGAATAGTGTATGAAAAGGTAAACTAGAAAGAACGAACTGAAAAAAGGTAACAATTAGAGCAAAATGTGTAGAGGGAATAGCGTATGAAAAGGTAAACTACAAAGAACGGGAAAAAGTTAACAATTAGAGCAAATTGTGTAGGGGAATAGCGTATGAAAAGGTAAACTACAAAGAACGGGAAAAAGTTAACAATTAGAGCAAAATGTGTAGAGAGAATAGTGTATGAAAAGGTAAACTACAAAGAACAGGAAAAAGTTAACAATTAGAGCAAAATGTGGAGAGGGAATAGTGTATGAAAAGGTAAACTAGAAAGAACAAGAAAAAGATACCAATTAGAGTAAAATGTGTAGAGAGAATAGTGTATGAAAAGGTAAACTACAAAGAACAGGAAAAAGTTAACAATTAGAGCAAAATGTGTAGAGGGAATAGTGTATGAAAAGGTAAACTACAAAGAACAGGAAAAAGTTAACAATTTGAGCAAAATGTGGAGAGGGAATAGTGTATGAAAAGGTAAACTACAAAGAACAAGAAAAAGTTAACAATTTGAGCAAAATGTGTAGAGAGAATAGTGTATGAAAAGGTAAACTACAAAGAACGGGAAAAAGTTAACAATTAGAGCAAATTGTGTAGAGGGAATAGTGTATGAAAAGGTAAACTAGAAAGAAAGGGAAAAAGTAATAATTATTGCATCGTCTCTAGAGGAATGGGGTTCTATAAGGGAAACTTTAAAGAACGGGGAAAAGGTAACAATTAATCTGTAGAGGAAAGGGGTGTAAAAAAGAAAACTTTAAAGAACGATAATGGCAAATGCGTATTATAGTATGTTGATGTAACAACGGTTTCAACAATCTTGTTTAAAGTCAAGATTTCGCAAATTATTGGTCGGTACACAGAGATTGTTTGAAAATACAAGCTGTCGTTACGTCAAGTGTTGACTGATGTTTTTAATACAAATTGTTAAGCCATTATTTCCATACTAAACTCAATAGGGATTTATCTGTTAACCAAACGGTTCATGGCGGGTGTGATCGGTCGACAGAGAATGCTTACTCCTCCATGGCATCTGATCCCACCTCTGAAGTTTTCAGGGATCATTGATTTCATTGCTTTTGTATACATGTAGTTTATTTGGACTTTTGAGCATGATCACTGTTCGTTGTCATCCTATTTCACTTGCTCTACATGCTTTTTATTTGTTGTTAGACGTACGTGTACTTATTCATGTTAGCTGTTCATACTTTAATATTTTAGAATGATGATTTAAATCTTTTAAGCAAAATTATTGGTTATTTAACTTTGGCATTTCATCAACAAATTTGAGTGAAAGTTTTTTTAAAGTATTGTCGTTCTTGAAGCTAAAATGTTTTGAAAGGCTATAAAAGGCAAGATAGGGCAAATCCCTCAATGGCCCCTAGTTTGGAATGTTTCTAAAAAAAACTTCGCATTATAAAAAGTATGTTGCCATGCCTGTTACAAAATGAGTACATTTAATTTGATATATAGAGGTCACAGTAAGGTCACAAAATGTCACTTTCTAAATTTTCTCATTTTTATTCCCATCAATTTAAAGCACATTTTGTTTTGGAAAACATAGAGCACAATCTTGCATATCTTTCAAATTTATATGTTTGACTTTCGTGCACCAGTATTAGATATGAACTATGATTGGGTCATATTTGGCTGACGAGTTTCGTACCAACTGGTTAGGCTTTTTAAAAAAAACAACAACAAAATTTGACTACGGAATGTTCTGTCTTCCTAATCAATATACTATAGTATAGGGCTCACGACTGGTGTAACCTGTCTTCAGGGGATGCTTACTCCTCTTGGGCACTAGATCCCAATCTGGAATTTCCGGAGGTACGGAATTTTTATGCTGAATGGTTTAAGTCCTGTTCACAGATTTGTATTGCATGCAGTTTTTTTTTAAAAAATCGATCACTGTTCGTTATCTTCAGCATTTTCTTCTGTATGGAAATCTCAAATAAGTAGACTTGTGCGATATGTTTTCTGAGGTAAAAGGTATCAACAATTTTAAAATTTAGGAAATTCGATGAAATGTTGTAGTTTGTCACATTGCTGTGGCCTCCCTTAATGATTTAAATCAAAGTCAATGTTGGTTATAAAAACGAGTATCATTTCAAGTTTTTAATTGCAAATTATCATAATTTTAACTGTGTTTTGAATTTTTAGATCATTCGGCCGTTACCATGCCTTTTCCTTTATATTGAAATATATACATACCAAGGATTGTATTGTATCTATAGTCCAGATTAGTTCCTTATTTTGCTCCTTCCTAAAAATACGAAATCTCTTTTTTATATGGAATTTCTTTATCGTGATGTAAGGAGAAACTTCCTCGATAAAACATGAAAATAAGCTCATTAAATGCAATGTAAACCCTGACTTCAGAGTGTTAAATTGATTAAGGGATTGACAGAATGACCTTACACCAAAATGTAGGTAGTTTGTATCCACATCTTTTGTCATTTGTGATACAGTGCAAAATATGATCATACTTAAACGTAGATATAACAGAAAAAAGATCTTCTTTAGATTTAGCAATAAAATTGCCATTGCTTAATGTACCATTAAGCCTTGAATTCTAATTTTGTTCCTGATTATTTTTTCTACATCAAGGTATCATCGCTTTTCACGCACAGTTATCGGCTACTCAGCAGAACCTAGGCAAGTTTGCCACAGTTGTGTTTGGAAAAGTTACCCTGAACTCTGGGAATGCCTATGACCCTACCACTGGTAAATTTACAGCACCTAAAGATGGAATCTATTTCTTCTCGTGGACTGTTCTGACATCGCAAAAGAAAGTATTTCATTCAGAGATTGTCTTAAACGGTATTATTTATGGTTACAATCACGCCGACGGCAAAAGTGGCAGCTCTACCTACGAGTCTGCATCCTCATCGGCTATAATAAAAATGACGAAGAGAGACAAGGTCTGGATAAGAGCACACGGCGTATACGGAGAATATGCGTTTGCCAGCTGGTCGGCTTTCTCAGGATTTAAACTTACATGAACTTGCATGAAAAGGAAAAGAATTTTTCTCATAATTTTATTTGTGATTTTGATCGGATAAAAAAAGAGTTGAAGGGATTATAGTTCGGTAATTTAAGCCAGTTGCTTTTTTGAAATTAAAGAAATCTCAACTGTATAAGCCTTTTTGAAAAGCAAGGATTCTAGAACGCTTGTGTAATCAACTAGCGTGTTCCAAGGAACGCATGTGTTGCATGCTATAGCATCACTAAAGATGTAACTAATTCTTTGAATGGTCTATGAATGGTTAGTTGGATATTACGACTGCGATAGAATTGCATTTATAAAAAGTATTGGAATTAAATAGAAATATGATTTCTCAACCTAAAATGAATAATGAAATAGAAATTATTTATATATTTCATTCAAGCATAGATAGGTCTATGATTCAAGCAATTTAAGCAAAGACCTTATGCTTTAGGTCTATGATTTAAGTATGTCTTTACAAGCCATTTGTTTATAGTAATCCCGATATATTTTTAGAGTTTGTATGGTAACTGTATCACCGTATACAACGGGTAACACGGGGGAGTCACTAAAAAGTATGGGGTAGACGTTTTGGGGGAGTATACAGTGCTTCGGAGACAGAAGGAATGTAGGCCACGTCTTTTTTCGGTATTTGTAACATGTTTTTACAAATATTAATATCGTACAGAAGACAGCGATAGTTAAGCTTTGTCCAAGTCTTTGATCCGGATACATGTTACATATACACATATACGTTTAGTATTCTCAAACACTTCGAAACTATTTGACAGATTTCATATTCACGGCGATCGAGTAGTCAAAACATGAATGTTTTGCACAATCTACGTCTTTCACCGGGGTTCAGAAAGTTGAAACAAAGAAAGAAAACGTTAATCTTTTAAATGCAGCAATTAAAACTTTACCAGTCTTTGGGGAAATTAATAATCGGATCCGTGGCTTGTATTTGTCTTCGCTATATATGTGTCCGCAAAAACGTCTTCTCGATAAAATTGAAATTAAGATGGTGACTTGTGTTAATGAATTGATTTTGAAAATGACTTTGCAAAGAGGTGATGCGATTACAAGATGCCAAATACTGTAGTACTTAGTAAACTGAGACATAACTTTAAAAGAACAGGTTTATGTCGATGACCCAAGGGTTCACTAAATAAAAAAAAATCTAAATATAGATTTCAAATTAACAACAGAAATCAGCAGCTTCTTTACAAGCATTTTAATTCTCGATTTTGTCAATGAAAGTTGGAATTCTAAGAAAAGTATATTATCATACTAATAGCCCATAGTTAAGTACTGGATTAGGAAACTGGGCACTGCTTTTCCATATGGTGGCAAATAAAACGTTGTGAGTGTGGGAAATCTTTTAAGTCCACAGTGTATCAACGTGAATGACGTTTACAAAAGCGTAGTCATGGAGAGTGGTCTTACAGTAAATCTAATATACATGATATCTCTTTTTGAATAACTTCTGTCCTCAGCACGTAGCATAGTATTTTAATGTTAGGGGGAAGGGTAGGAAAATCTTTTAAAAAACTTACCTGATACATCTTTTACAAGCAAAAAAGGGCTTAATTGTCCGAAGCTCGATAAGCCCATTTCAGGGGGGGGGGGTGCCCGAATTTATTGACATACAACTTTATTAATACTATACTGCAACAAAAAGTAAAAAGTGGGGGAGGAGGGGGCAACCACCGCCTTTTCAATGAACATCTTCAACAGGGCATTGAGTTTCTGATTGACAATATCTATGTAGTTTTTGGAGATCAGGTCTTCCAACAATCTTTTGGAATTCTCATGGGCACCAATTGCGTTCCCTTATTAGTAAACCTATTTTTGTAATCATATTCAAAAACTTTTACATGAGAAAAAAAAAACAAACACTTGGCTTGACATTTAGATATATCAACGACGTATTATCAATTAACAATAGTTACTTCCATTCATATGTCGACTCGATATATCTCAGTAAGCTTGAAATAAAAGATACCACAGAGTCTGACCATCTGTTTCATATTTGGATATTTTACTAGAAAAAGACGTTAATGGTAATCTCACGTGCATATGGGGTTTTTGTCTCCCTGTTCCCTAACAAAAATGCAAAAGTAAACTATAGTTAACTTATAATATACAATTAGTTACCCTTTATGAGGTCAACATGGTGAAATAAGGACCCGAGACCTGGCCCACGAGGTGACCTGACCTGACCAAGGCCGCGTAGCGGCCTTGGTCAGGTCAGGTCACCTCGTGGGCCAGGTCTCGGGTCCTTATTTCACCATGTTGATCTCATAAGGGGTAATCAATTGTTTTATTATACCGATATAAGTTAAGACAATTTTTGTAGGCTTAATTACTAAAAGAATCAATATTGTGTATTAGACCTTCATGTACGAACTGTTATTATCAGTGTTCCATCGGGATCGGGATTCGCTAGTGAAGTTGTTTCCTTTTCGCCTGCAAGTCTTGTAAGTTTTTGCACCGCCGATTTATTAAAACACTCTGTGATTGTCAGTAACATGCATTTTTATAAATTCATAAATACCACTCCCAAGTACAATGACAATCTGGTGCAGACTTTTACTGTACAAAAGAGCCGGGTCTGCATTCGTTGAATTTGACCATAGACATATAAGAGATATGTCTATGATGAAAACGATAAATTTTTATAACGCATCTAAAGGTCATTCGTATTCCTTATCATAAAAAAAGATTACACATATTTTTAAAACGGCATTTTTTGTAATGAACAATCATTACTGTATGCATGAATTTTCAATCTAGATTAACAGGGCATCTTTAGCGGTCATTATTTATCCTCGAGGAACCTATTTCGGTGGTATTAGCAAACTACGTGATAAAATAATCTTAACGAGATCGATTAAAATAAAATAAATGTGACTTACCTCTGAAGGACTCTTTATTTGATCAAATTATATCCATATTATCTAATTAAAAAAATGATTTTTTTTCTCGAGATTTCTTTATTCGTTTACGTAAGCACAAATGTTGAGGTACCTAAATCGGTGGTATGGTACTTGTCAAAAGTTTTTACCCTAATAACACCAACCACAGGCATAAATTTATGTATAACGAATATTAATTTGTATAAATGAACAAAGGGATAAATTACAATTTGTAAAGTTTTATTTATTATTATGGCAGGGACAGATAAATTCGTCACCCCGTCTAATTACTTTAGTTGCGCAGCAAAACTGCAAGTGGGTCCAGTGGTCGCATTTTTCAACGCTACACTGAGCCCACTTTACAAAAACAACTAAGTCGCAGTCCTTAATCTCCTCTGGCCAAAAGTGTTTACAAACACAGCATTTCTCTTTTTCATCTTCTGTGTCATCGGCATCAGAGGATTCAGGCTGTTCAGACACACCGTGTTTTCTTTTCTTCCTGCATAATTCCTTACATGTAGAAGTCGTTTTTTCTTTTCTTTTTGATGTTTGTTTTGTTGTAGAATAATTTTTTATTTCTTGCAAACACTGTCCTCTGTAATTGGTTTGCCACTTACAATTTTGCTAATATTTCTTTTTTCAGTTAGAACAGATTTTGTTTTGTTGAAAATTGGGTTTGTATGTAGTTTAAAGAAGGATTTGGGATCAGAGGTGCTTGGAATTGCTTGAGTTGAAGAAATTGCATCTTGGTCTGGACATTGTTCTGCTGCGGAAAAAACTATAGAAGGAGCAAAATTCAAAGGGTCCACTGCATTTTTATCGAATGGGAAAATTCCAGCGCGTCGAAATGAGGATTGCAAATTTCCTTGTGAAAGAGCATGTGCATACGCTTTACAAGCTAATGAGCAAATATTATATCTTGTAAATTTTTGAAGATGGATTTTCACGTAAAAATTTATGGCACTCAGCATTATAGATTTTTTGAAATGTGCCAAAACATCCAAGGTCTAGAGGTTGAAGAACATGGCTTGTATGGGCAGGCAGAACAAATAAAACAATATTATGTTGCTTTGCCCAGTCAACAAGCGTGAGGTTAATGTGTGATTTGTGTCCGTCGTAAAGAATTATGATAGGTTGGTTTTCATTCGGTCTTTGGACATATTTAAGAAAATGTTCAGATAAATAAGTCTGAAAGACTTCAGAGTTCGACCAACCACTGTCTGTTACTGTGCGTTGAGCACCCTCCGATGCACCTTCCATCAATTCCTGTCTCATTCGAGCCCCTTGGAAAACGAAATACGGAGGCATCTGTGTACCTAACCCATTGCCACAACCTATGACAGTTACTGTAGAAGATCTCGCAGATGTTATAGCAGGTGTTGTTGACATCTTAGAATCCACAATGCAGGGTGGTCTGTGTTCTGTTTGTAGCCCCTTTTCATCAATGTTGTATATGCACTGAGGTTTATCGACTAGGTCGTACTTCTTAAGAATGGTGTCTAATTCTCGATAGTAATTTGACACTACTTCTTCAGAGGTTGACTTTGCCCTGGCAGCTGATAAGGCGCGAGGCTTTGAAACATTCAGTTCTGGCCACCGCATCATAAAGCCTTTGAACCACTTCATTGAAAATGGATGATTTCTGTCACGTTTCTGCAAACTGCAGGCATATTCTGAGGCCATGGTAACTACTTCTGATCTAGTGTAGCCGTAGCCACAACTAGCCATAACCTTTAAATGGTCAACAAATGCAGCTTCTTCCTCTAGCGAAAGAACAGGAGAAACTCCAGACGTTAGTTTCTCAGGGTCAACTCTCCCCAATGCTCTTTGTCGAAGTGTGGTTTCCGGAACACAGTAAGCCCTAGCTGCTTTCCATACAGACATCCGATGCTCCTTAATAGCATGATAAGCATTTGTCATAGACGTAGGGGAGTATGGTCTGTACTTTTTTGTTATTTTATCTGATGCAATCTATAAAAAAGAATTATTAGGGTCTTCCGTCTTCTGCGGAAGACCCTTCTATTATTCTATTGTTGATTTTTCACTTTTCTTATTATTATTAAGGTCTTCCGACTTCAGCGGAAGACCTTACTGTTATTCTTAGGTTTCTTTTCCACTATTTTTATTATTGTTTTTTTTTCCTACCGATTTTGTGCACGCGAATTCTCGGAAACGGCTCGCCCGATTTTCATGAAACTTTCAGGTCTGATAGAGAATTAAAAAATCTAGATATATATTTTTTTATTCGGATGACGTCACTTCCGGTCCGGAGATTTTCGAGATTTGGTGATTTTCGAGGGTTAGTTTGTCCGGGCATTTTCAAGAAAAGCACTTAACACAGGAACGTGAGATTTTCAGTGATGATAGAGCAACGTATGTAGATTTGTACTTGGATGTTCATTTTTACCCAAAATACCAAACATCAACGTCCGCTACAGCCCAAATTTTTAGCTTCTTTTTCCTACTTGTTAACTTTGATGCCTCATATCTTGCTTATTTCTCAAGGGATTTTAATCAAAATTTCAGAGTTTATAGACGTTACAAAACTCTATCAGAATAATATAATATTTTTCCAAAATCCACTTCCGCTTTCGAGTTATTTCCCTTTATGTGAAAATTTGGGGTCTTTAATTTCCAGACAAATATTCAGAGACTACAAAAGTTGGAACATAAATACTACTGAATATAAGAAACAGAAGCAATGAGGTTGTGAACATTGCTTTTTGTTTTTTGATTTCTGCGTTCAAACTGCCGCTAGATAGGGGTAAAAAATTAGGACGTATGAAAGAGCAAAAATTGACACATGTTTTCCTTTGTATCTTTTAAATAAGAAATATTTTATTAAAACATGTAGAATAAAAGTTGCGTACAATTTAATTACCTTTTATTTGACACCACTAAAAAGGAGCTGGCCCCTAAAATTAGGGATCTAGGGCCCTTGAAAGTTTTTGCTTTTTATCTCAAAAACGAGAAATTATTTCGATATGGCTGTCGATAAAAAGTTGTTCCTTTATACCTTCTTTGTCTCATGAAAATATTATTTTGTTCGAGTCTTGTGTATGGTAGGGAAAAAAGCTAGACCCGTAAACAAGGACCCGTTTTCATTTGGCTAGTGAAGAAGAACTCTTTATGCGTATAACTGAAATAAACTTGCCATAAATAATATATCTTTCAACGCTGTATCCTAATTTTTTTAAATTGGGTTTTAAACGTGCTCTTTGGTTCCTATTCAGATTATTCGGTGACAACTTTCTCTTTTTATTGTGTTTTAAAATAAAGAACCTTCCAAGAGAGAAAGAGAGAGAAACAGAAAAAAGTACAAGTATCTTTTCTTTGTTTAAATATGAAAGCAAACATTATAAACGCGAAAAAACTTTTAAGAGTCAAATAATTCACAGTCATTAACTGCGTGATTCTTACATTCACCTGAACCCCAAATTCTATTCTGTTTACCGTTACGTAACCCATCCCTCGATCACGCGCGGTCGAGAAGATCTAAAGCGATCCACCGCGTGTGAACCATTGACCCACAGTCGTAAACAAAATAAAAATCAGCGTATTAAGTCTATTTTGTAAACACGACAATTAATGGACAATTATTAATATCGAATATTTGAGATTATGTTGGTTTATCTTTGTTTTAAATTTGATTATGATACATGTAGCCTTAATCCAAAACGTCTAGCCAGGTTTTGTGTTTGTTTATAATTACGCAACCATTAACCATTCCTTCGATCACTTGTGGTCAAAGCAGTCCATCGTGTGCATGTTTACCAGTGCGCAGTCATCAAACATTGTTGTTCTAAATCTAATTAACAAACACAATGACTTACGGGAAAATATTATTTTCTTTAAGTAAATCGAATCTTTCAAATAAATTATCTTAATATCTTAGATTTGATTTAAGTACAAAACGCTAAGCATTTATAATCAGTCTTAAAAAATTTTAAATGTTCGTTATCTCCATATTTAAATTGTTTTAATGTTACCAACAATTTATTTCCCAACCGTGTGTAATTTTACTTTTAAATTGGTGAGTGATTGCGTATGGACTAGCGATCTGCGGTTACTTTAATTTAACCATTAAACGCACAAGCTTTGCGCTTTCTCTACGTTTTGAAACAGTAAATTAATCCGTTTTCAACACAAATATTTCCAGTCATATTTTTTTCATCACAGGCTATTATCATGATTATACCAACTTTAAACTTTTAAAGAGAATCTTCCGAATCATAAGGGTGACCAGTCTTACTTTAAAAATGATTCGTTATTTTATTGAAAAGTAAACAATGAAATGGATCAGAGACATATAAATATGTCTCTGAATGGATTAAACATTGATAGGTAACTCCGTCACGTGGCAAAGGTCTGAACTTCATAAGCGACTTCTGTGTTGCACTATGCCTATTTATATTACAGGGTTGATATTAAAGTTTTAATAAAATTCCTCAAGATTTTAAAGCAATGAATTTTGTTTTTATAATTAATTCAAAACCCGTAAATGATCTTTTTTAAGTATAGTATGCTAACATCATAATTTTGTTGTGGGATTAAATATCGGTAGCGGGTTATAAATGTAGATAACAACAAACCTATATCGTATGTCCAGAACTGTAAATTTCAGAATGCATATAACATATATTTTTAAAATATCAATTGGGACGGAAAAGGTACACACTGGGAAAATTTTAGTATCACTTGAATATCTAACTGCAGAACTGTACATGTAGCTTTCCGAAAAAAAAAATAATTTATTGACGGGCCGGAGTCTCTGGTAATCCATCCCATTTTTTTTCAGACCAGTGAACTTCAGTGCAGCTATTGAATATCACACATTTATCATTCTTAATTAATACACTTTGACAAATTTATTTCAATTATCAAAATCATAATCGGCAGCCTTTGTATCATAAACTATTAAACTATTTGTTTCGTTTACCGTATAGAATTGAGTATTTTCTTTCAAATAATTGATTTGTAACTCACGTACATTACTTTTCTGGGTAAGTTTTAAGAAATACGAGAGAGAGAGAGAGAGAGATTTGCTCATGTACATATATACCAGGTAGTTCCTGTATCAAATATTGTTCAATTTTCGTAATTTAATTTACAATATCAATCATAATCTCTCTATTCTGTAAATCTATTTGTTGATTATCTTCAACTTCAATCACAATATGTAATACACGTACTTAAATTAAAGCCATGCACGGGTGCTTTTGTACACATGGAAATATTTTTTATTTAATCTTTCGTCCATGCTTTCCTCCTTCACAGAAAAAAAGATTAGTTAATAAATTAACCGAACGAGGTTGAAAAAATGCGGGACTATTTTTTTTTCTCAAATTAACTGGATGGAATATACTTTTTTCATTTCACTGTACACGTGTCCTGAATAACTGAATAAAACTGCGTGGTTTGGGTTTGTCAAAGTGTTTTTAGACCACGATAAGTCAGTCGCAACTTCTCGGGCCTTTCCAACTAACTGAAAAAAACTTCGAATGTATTACGTAGACCCCCCCCCCCTTCCCAAACTTTGAAATAAATGACTATAAAAGATCTTCCCTCAATGAGGGAAGACATTTCATCTGTTGAGTATTGAGTTTAAGTTTATTGAATGTAAAGATATTACCTAAAATATACTAATTAGCTAGAAGGGACTTTCAACTCCCTCTATCCTTAATAAATAGGAAGCTACTCCATCTTGTATAAAATTTTAACATCCGGTAATGTTAAAACATTCGGGGTTGTTTTTCCGACCTCTGACGGAAACGCCCGAGATGATGCGATTGCGGAATCAGGATTTTTAAACATCTTCATTGGCCAGTTTCGCTTATTTTGCACTCTGGGGTTTTTGAAAAAATGTGTTGATCGACATCCAAATAAAATGATAATTAAATAGAGTGCCAAATATATCATGGGCGAAAATTTGTTTTATAAAAAGTGGTTCTTACAAATAGATCTATATATGTAGATAACCCTAAATAGCTAAATATTTATTGGTTTTGTCTATAGCAGATGTTAATTTAGTTCTTAGCCGACATTAACTTACGTGTATAAATAAATATAAAAGCCATGTAATTGTAACCAAATATTCCGAAGCAATCATTCATATTTATTGGACTGATAGTTGATTAAATTTCCTCTCATCAGTAAACGTATATCCCCCCCCCCCCCCGAAAATAGATAAAATGCTTCCCTTCAGAGGCGAAGTTTTCAATCATTTTTTTTTTTTGGGGGGGGGGGGGGGGGAGTCAAAACGTCGATCATAAAAAAAATTGACTATATAAAAATAATTTCAATTTTTAATCAGTACCCCATCTCTCATGCCAAAGGCTAGGTAAGGTTTTCTGCTCACAATTTGTTTGTTCTCTGACTTCGATGTTGGCTTTCTCGGTGTAAGCGTAATCGACGTTGTCGCTGTAAACCTGGTACTTGTAATTTTTTTTCTCATTCTTATCTTTTCAATAATCACTGGGTCAGTATCAACCAAACGTTGTTGATCAAATGAATGACCACATTCTCTTCCAACAGAAGATAATTAAGAAATACAAGTAGTAAAAATTGGAAAGGTCATTTGAAAAAATTATTCTCTAGAAACCTGTGGGCCGGAATGAGAAAACATACTTATGATATCTCCCTGAAATAGTAAAGATTTATTTTTTTTTTTTCAAATCAGAATGGGTGTTCAAAATTTAACATGGGAATTTATATCCCCCGCAAACGAAGTGTCTGGGCCGGGGGGGGGGGATTAGGAATCATATTGTCCGTCTGTCTGTCCGCTTGTCTAGCTGCCCGTCTGTCCCTCCAAGTTTGCCCAGGCTATGACTTTTTGGATTAACTGGAAGCTCATACTTGGTACAAAGATAGCCAATGATCCTAGGGTGTGTCATTCTCTTGATCCAAGGTCATTCCAGCAA